ATTTTTTAGGTCAGGGTACCATAAATCTAACATAATTTTAAAAAACAAATTTGTATATTTAAACAATAAATTTTGGGGCACCTGGCTGGCTCAGTCAGAAAGTCATGCGACTCTTGATCTTGGTGTTGTGAGTTTGCACCCCACACTGGGTATAGAGATTCTAAAATAAATAAGTAAATAAACAGACTTTAAATAACTATTTTTTTTATAAGATATACCACTAAAGAAACTAAGCCTAAAGATTTATTTATTTATTTTTAGAAGGAGAGAGAGACAGAGCATGACTGGGAGGGGCAGAGGGAGAGGGAGAAAAAATTCCAAGTAGACTCCCCACTGAGCACGGAGCCCAACCCAGGGCTCAGTCTCACAACCCTGAGATCATGACCTGAGCTGAACTCAAGAATCAGAGGCTTAATCGACTGCGCCACACAGGCGCCCTATTAAGCAAACTATTGCAATATAATTTTAAAAGACTATGAGTTATTTATATGTAAAAATGTATTTTAAATTGTTAAACATAGAACTGTGTTTATCTCCATTTACATCGGCGAAACAACTGATGCATTTTACAATTTCTATTTTTCACCTACTAGAGCAATTAATTATATTTATAGAAATTGATGTGGGGTTTTTTTGTTGTCGTTCCATTGCTTTATTTTAATAGTTTTAAATTGGTTTAAATTTATAAATAATACTTTCTGTTATAGATACTCTCATGGGAATTGCCCAAGGTAAATAAAGAAAACCCAAGAAAACCTACCATGGATACAATACAATACAATATAAAAACTAACTCAGAAGATGTTGATTTTTTTAACTTTACTTTTTTATGAATTGCACAAAATAGTGTTCAATGATTTTGTCATTGATTTGGATGGCCTGACTGGAAATTCATTTTTTCCTTATCTATTTTTTATTTTACAATAAACTTTCATTTTGTTCTAATTAATGAGGAAGTCCCAAGTCAAAAAGTCTTCAGCAAATTACATTTTATCTCTATCTGGATAATCACTCTATCTACTACACATCATAATGAAAAATTATGCATATGAAATGGCAAAAAAAGGTTATTTAAAAATTGAGTATCATTAGCTCTCATGAAAATTTTGACTAAAGGAGTTTTAACTATGTTTTTATTAGGAAAATAGGATTTTTAAAAAACGCTTTTCATCTAAAGTTTAAAATAACAGTGTATATAGGTATGTTAATTTATATATATACACAGACAAACACACACATATTTTCTGAGATACAGAGAGCTAAGCATCCTCCTCAACTCCTGGCATACTATCATAACTTATTACTTGAAATAGAATTTTTTTTACAAATACCCATTCTTATATATTTAGTATATGTACTTTCCCAAATCCTTTTCTTGAAAAATACCTACTGATATTTATATATTTGTTTTTAATTTATAAAAATGGTATTGCACTATTCTCATTCTGCTTAATACTTTTTTCTCTTTAATCATGATATTTTTTGATGCATGAAAATATATTCTTTCCTTCTGACTCTTTATGTTCCAAAGTAATATATTTTATTTTTCCATTTTTCTTATTATGGACACATAACTTGCCTCTAGCTCTCAGCCACCACAGATACTCAAGAATTCTCCTTGTGAATATAAGCAAGGGTTTCTTGGGATACATCCTAAGATAGACTATAAGAATTTTACAAGGTACAACAAGCTTCTTGCTAGAATGGTTCTACCAGTGAACCACATGATTGTACACAAAGAAAATCCGATCCTATCAACAGACCAACCATTAGAATGGAGTTCAGAAAAGTAACCAGATATAGTATTATAAACATATCTTTTTCTCAATCTGTCTATTCAATATTCATCTCATTTGCTTGGCTGGTCTGTGTACACGGAGGTGGGCTTGGAGAATGTTTGGATTACCATAACCTGAGACAGAGGGTGACTCCAATTATATCCTCCTATGTATGTGCTATCTGCTTGAGCAAATCAAAACATGTACTGCCACCTGCTTATCTAGCTAACAATTTGGCAAATGTTTTTATCCCTTTACCAATTAGTAAGGATAATTAGGAATATTTCACTTACAACTGGTAAGAGTGTCTTCACTGTTAGACCTCAAGGCAATTCACCCATTCCATGACAGACAGGAGCCTTGATCATTTGGACATCCTATAGGACACCATGCTGATAATAAAATATTGATCACATCATCCTAGTTGCCTTAGTAGACATGTGCGTGACTCTGGTGGGGAAAAATATTGACATTTCAAGGGCTTGAGAATTCAGCAGGGTTTCTAAATGTCCAGTAGTCTGGATCTTATTGGGATATTCTAATGTAAAAGGCCAATTTCTGCCTTGAGATAACCTAGCACTCAGGAAGAGGCACAATACTATTTGGGTCCCTTTGCACATTAGAGAAAACATGATACACACTTGAGTGTGTTGCTACACCCCTTTTATAAAGTAGCCCCAAGGAGCTTTTGCATGAGAAAGAAAAGTCTGTAGGTTGGCGTCTTGCAAACTGTTCTGATATTCAGTCCAGATGACCCAGCTCATCCACTCAATGGTGCCTGAAGTACCAGTGGCAAATGAAGATGCTCTACAGAGATTCTGGAAAGTCCCATTAGAAGAACAACAGTATAGACATCAAGGATTTGGGACTAAAAGCATTCCCGCTTTTGCTAAACATTGCTTTTGTTGGTTTGTTTGGTTAGTTGGTTGGTTGGTTGGTTTGCAACTGGGATCTGATAGAAACTACACACTTGACCATGAGCTAGCAAGTGACACTGCAACCTGAGATACCCATGATCTAAGTGCTATCTGATCTGCCACGCTATGAGATCAGACCTATATAGAAGCAATATATCATCAAGTGGAAGTGATCTATTGAAAATCAGGCTCAAGTGGGTAGAAAAAGCACAAGTTAAGATGCACAGAAAGTAGCTCATAGTCACTCAGCACCTACTCTGCTACATTTCCCCAGCTATTTCATTTGCAATGTATGACCTCATGGGGAATTATCAATGATGAAGGATAAATAAAATTCAGGCCTAGTTTATGGACATGGAAAGATAAATAGAATTCAGGAGATGTTTATGTATAGGTCTGCACAACATGTAAGTATTAAGCCAAAGTATACTGCCCTAGCAATTAAGTTCCATTTAGGCGTGGCAATAAAAAATGTGTAGAAATAAAGTACGTAAGCGGGCTCATGTGTAATACCTCTGGTTGTGCACTTTGTGTGGTGTGACATTGGTCTATGATGGACCTACTCTTGTTCTTGGGCAATGGCTAACTGGTGGCTGGCCAGTTAGGGACAGAGAAATACGTAGAGTTTGCAAGATCGGTGACAAGGACGTTTATTCAGTGGCTGGACAGATACTTATAAAACTAGCTATTCATACGAACCTCTCATTATTCCTGAGACACTTCACTTGTATTGGGTTTTGTTTTGTCTTTCCAACAACTGAATTGCTCTGGTGGTGAAACAGACATGACCTTTAAGAACTTAAGATCTTCCTTAGCTAGATTTTATTACAAGACACTCTACACTATACCTAGCCACTATATGCTATGTGCTATCCTAACACATTAATTTCTCAAATACAAGAAAAGACTGCTGATCACTATAGAAGTTTGGAGGAAAAAAGAACAGCTATTTTGCATGCAAACAAAGTGCTAATTCTTTTGAGCTGTGGCAAATAGCCAGCATAGCCCAGATCTTTATTCCAAATTATAGTCCATCTGAGAAGAGAATGAGGCAATTAGGAACACTGTCCCAAAAGGAAAGACAGATTCTACATTATAGAGAGTAAAGCTATGTAACATACTGAGTTTGCCATAAGGTATTATTAGAAATAACTACTTGAATTAATAAATGAATATAGAATTCTAAATTTCAATTCAATTCAAAAACACCCACTGAGAGGGACGCCTGGGTGGCTCAGTCGGTTAAGCGGCTGCCTTCGACCCAGGTCATGATCCCAGGGTCCCGGGATCGAGTCCCACATCGGGCTCCTTGATCAGCAGGGAACCTGCTTCTCCCTGTCTCTCCCTCTGCTTGTGCTCTCTCTGTCAAATAAATAAAATCTTAAAAAAAAAAAAGAAAAGAAAAACACCCACTGAGAATCTAGTATTTGCCAGGACGTACACTGATCAATAGAATGCAGAAGTAAATAAAATAATAGTTTCCTTCATTTTTAAGAGTTTTTCAGTTTGACTGTCAATTATCAAGCAAAGAGATTATTAATGAAGGCTTTAATTTAACATGTGAAACAATGACGGGAATAGTGGTAGAAATGTGAGTTATAGAAGCAAGCTACTCAATGTTTATCATTTTGAATCAATAGATAGCCATTTTCAGCATTCCAGATAAAAGGCATAGAAACTTCTTCTTATCCAACCATTTTCTAACAGATGCTTAGCATATAGTAATACTGATTTCATCATTTATGTGAATACTCTGTGTTCATCGTCCAATACAGTAGCTATACACAGAATTAAGACTAAAATTAATTAAAATTAAAAATTCAATCCTCAGTCACACTAGCCATATTTCAAACTAATTTTTTTATTTTATTGTGGTAAGATCTACCCTCTTAAAATGTGAAAGGTACAATACAGTGTTGTTGGTCACAGGGAGAAGGAAGTGGGGAGGTATTAATTAATGGGCATAAAGTTTCAGTGAAGCAAGATGCGTAAGTCCTAGAGATCTGCTGTACAACACTGGAGACCAGCCATATTTTAAGTGCACAGTGACTGCACGTGCCTATCGCCTGCCATATTGTATTACAGCAAGTGTCCCTTATCACAGAAAGTTTTATTGGTCTCACAAGTTGCACTTATATTCCTAATTTATTGAATAGGAGCAACCGCTGAATTTTAAAAGTAATCAATGGCGATCTTTTTTTCTTCAATAGTGTATTTCGGTCTACTTAATTGAATACATTCTATTCTGTTGAAAATTAATGGCTTACTTTCTCTTCTCTTTCTGGTTGTAAAACAAATGTCTTACTTTCTTCTGTTGGCAAGTGTCTCTTCATCGTTTCTGGGAGAGATCTTCATCCCATGCTTCTCTTTGCTTCCATCAAAAGAACAACGGGGGCTTTGTGTAGGTGTTCTGATTAGACGGCCACAAATCTTATTGACCTTTCAAAGAGAAAATATTAAAAGACAGTTAGAAACCAACCTCCATCCTACCTGAGAATGTAATGTTTGTAATGTAATGTCCAAAACAATGGCATGTTCTTACTTATACCTCAATAGTAACTTTTAAGACATAAAATGTTAAAAGAAAAAAGACATAAAATGTCAATTTTCGAGCGGGGGAATTAAATTATCTGTATAAAATGGCAGCCATGATAAATTGATGCTATACATATATATTGATATACTTTGCCTGAGTACATGTATAAAATACATGAAGAAAATATATATGCAGAATGAGTCAGAGAACTATATTAATAAACTTGCTTGCTTATATAAATAAGACTACTTAACCAAGGTAGATATTATTTATGTTTTATATTCAACTGATGACAATCACATAATTGTACAGATATTTCAATGAAATAATTTGCTATTGAATATGCAGTCTGTTTCTAAGTGAGTTCTAAGAGTGGTTTTCTTCTTAAGGTCCTTCCCCAGAAATAATAATGATTTTGTTTATGTAGAGATCTCATTTTGTAATAGCTTTATATCTTCTTCCTGTATTTTGAAACTATTAGTATAGTTGTTTTTTAAATAATTATCCAAATGAAAAATTCATTAAAAAACTTACTAGCAAACATCTTTGTATAACTTACATAATTATCATTGAAAAATTAAGTAATGAATTGGACATATTATCATGTAAAGCAATAAAAAAGACTCACATGATACCTTATACACTTAAAGAGGTAGAGTAGTATAATCGCAAATATATAAAAGCATTGCCTAGGAATCAGGAGACCTTGGTTCTTGTCCAAATTTTTTTCCATCTTAATCACTGAGATCTTGAAGACAGTAGCAGAACTTCTTTGAATTTGACTCCTTTAGATGTAAGATGAAGACGTTAGAGTAAATTACTCCAAAGTTCCCTTAAAGTTATCAATTTCTTTGATTTTCCATGCAATGGGCATTAAAGGAATTATACATTAATTTGTTTCTTGAACCCGTATTTATTTTGCTTCTAATATTTGCAAAGAACATGTATTAAAGTTTAGAAGAGATAAAAGATGGGAAACTGAATTTTCTCCTAAAAGAGCTGACAATTTCAGAAGAAAGAAAAAATAATTCTCAAACATCAAAATGCAAGATGTGTATGTGTGAAAAGAGAGGGACTAACACAGTGTTGCGGACACTTGGAGGGTGAAGAGTGACGCCAGGAAAGACCATCATGGGAAAGACCACTCCACTGGCATGAAGCTTGGAGTATGGGTCGGGCCTGAATATGCTGAGATTGATTTCAAGTCAGCCAAATTATAAATATACAAATATTTACTGCACCCCATTCTTTTCGATGCTAGAGATGAAACATGAATCAGGTGTGGCCCTTGCACACAATTAAGATAAAAGTCAGACATGTAAAACGGTAATTATAATAGAACAAGACCCCGGCAACCACAGAAATAGCTAGAAGTAACACGGAAACACTCAGAAAATGGACAGCTTCAGTCTGCTTGGGGTGTTCAGGGAAAAGCTTCAGGAGGTCATGTCTAAAGAACAAGGTAAAGCATAAACTAAGAGTCTGTCAGGTGGACAAAGCAGGGAAAAAATTTAGGAGAGAGTAGAAAAGCAAAGAGATGTGCTACTTAACATGTTGACATAGGACAAAAAGTGAATAATGAAATAAAATGGTAGAGCAAAAGGTGAGACATAAAAATGCCATGATTTGACCTGAAAACCAAGCCAAAGAACTTGCTCCGGCAGATGGAGAGCAGGAAAAGCTTCCAAGCAGAAAAATGGTAGCTTAAGATTCCCACAAGAGAAAAATCACCATGACAGCAGTGTGGAGAGAAGGAGACCAAAGAAGCATCCTTTAGTAGAACAGTGGAGCAGAACTGGAGCCCAAAGTCATGGCAGAGGAAGAAAGAAGCAGGTCGAAGAGGCATGCTGGAGAGCAAGACAGTAGCATGGAGACTGATTAGATGTATCATGTTGTTATAACAAAAAATAACGATGAAAGGCAGAGGAAAAATCCTCAAGGAGGTAGATGCAAGAAAATATGAGGCTAACACAAAAAAGAGGTAAAAAAGATAAAATGGTAGTTTGCCTTGAAAGACAGGATTATAGAGGGTAATAGTAAAAGGAAATTATGTCTGAAGGCTGGGCTAGAGATAAATGTTGGAGCATTTTCAATGCCAACCTCAGTTTTATTATTAGACAAAAGCCTCTGATGACTTTCTAATGGAAAAGTTAAAATACTAGAGCTGATATTTAGTCAATGAATCTGGAGGCATGGTCCAAGTTGGGCTGGGGAGGCAGACCTGGTAGAGACAAGTAAATTGTTAAGAGAGTCCTGCAGTAGCCCTGAGCGGGGGAAATGACTTTGAACGTTAGTGGTGACAGCGACCATGAAGAGAAAGATTCATGAATCACAGACACAAGAGAAGTACAATCAACAAGGCCACATCCAGAACACTGACACCACCAAAGGGTGTGGGAGATGTCAAGCAACAAAACTGTTTGTCATTCATGGCCAGTGGGAACGAAGAATGGTACAGACAGTTTGGAAGACAGTTTGGTGGCTTCTCACAAAAATAAAATTATCCAAAGGAATTGAAAACTTATGTCCACACAAAAACCTGCGCATGGTTGTTCACAGCAGTTTCATTCAGGATTGCCAAAACGTGGAAGCAACCAAGAGGTCCTTCAGTATGTGAATGGACAAAACTGTGGTACCTTTTTTATTCAGCACTAAATTATTATTATTTATTATTATACAGCACTAAAAAGAATATTATTCAGCACTAAAAAGATATGAGGGGCACCTGGGTGGCTCAGTCAATTAAGCGTCTGACTCGGTTTCGGCTCAGGTCATGATCTCATCAGGGTTGTGGGATCGAGCCCCACACCGGGCTCCACGCTCAGCAGGGAGTCTGCTTGAGATTCTCTTTTCCTCTCCCTCTGCCACTCCCCCCTCTTTCTCAAATAAAAAAATAAATGCATCTTTAAAAAAATGGAAAGAAATGAGCTATTAGGCCATGCAAAGACGTGGAGGAAACTTAATTGCCTTTTACTAAGTAAAAGAAGCCAATTTGAAAAGGCTGAAAGCTGTATGATTCCAACTATATGACATTCTAGAAAAGGAAAAACTATGGAGGCAGTGGTTGTCAGAGATCAGAGGGAATATAAGGGTAAGGGGGCAGAGTACAGAGGATGCTTGGGGTGGTAGAACTACTGTGTATTATACTATAATGGCAGATACATGTCATTATAAATTTGTCCAAACCCCTGGAATATACAACACCAGGAGTGAATCCTGATGTAAGCTATAGACTCTGGCAGATAATGATGTGGCAGCTGAGGTTCATCAATCCCAACAAATGTCTGACTCTGATAGAGGATGTCGAGAACAGGGCAGGCTAAGCATGAGTGAGGGCAGGGGATATATGGGGAATCTTGCCTTCTGCTCAGTTTCAATTTGAACCTGAAGCTGCTCTAAAAATTAAAGTCTATTAAAAAAAAAAATCAGTAGGGCTTATAGCAAATGCCTGAAAGTAAGAAGTTAAAGAAGTGTAAGGCCAAGGTGTTAAAAGGCCCAAAGCAAATTTCCGCAAAGCTGAAAAACAGTGATAGTGGAGTGTAAGTAATTATTAGTGCAAAGAGCTAAAATATCTTTAAATGGAAAAAAGTATCTTCATTGTCAACAACTCCTAGTAACAAAAACCAAGGGAAGACGATGTAAGTTGGTAGTAGAAATATTGACTAAAATTGTTTAGTGATACTGAATAATATTTTAAACAAAGGAGCACAATAAGAGAGAAACAAACTGCTATCATGATCCAATGTGACTAGCCACAGAGCTCTAGACAAGTCTTGAAACTTCTAGGAATCTCGGTTTTCTCGTCCTTGAAAATTGAGAAAAATCAAACCCTAAGTTAAGGGACATCTTATTTCATCCTGCCCCTCCCATGCTGGACCTAAGACCATATCTGCTCTTGAACATATTTCCTAGACAGGTAGATGGAAAGCTGAAAATACCAGCCTCACAAGATCTTTATTCCCATTATATTTGTAATGTTTTGGGGGGGTTTTGGGGCTTATTTTATGATTCTATTTATTTTTTTAGTTTTTTTTAAATTTTTGATATATAATTCACATAACATTATAATTCACATAACATTATACATATTAGTTTCAGGTATACAACATAATGATTCAATATTTGTAAAAACTGATCACCAGAGTAAGTCCAATTTTGTTTTGATTTTTTACAAATAGAAAAGAAAATGTACAAGCCATAGACTTACAAGTCATCTCTTTGATGGTATCCAAAGGTACAGGCATATAGAGCAAATTCCAACAAATATAAATAAATTTCAAAGCCCTTCGATTTGTTGACTTGCTATCCTGGGAGCTCGACTTCACACCTTATGGAAAGGGAATGGAAAGGGATCTGTTAGCCTTAGCCTGTCACCTTAGCTCCCCTGGGGCTGAGCCGATTTGGGTGGCCCATTTCAATACCTTCTTGCTATTGAAAAGTCCTTCACACTTACTTTGACTATTTTTCGTCTTCGGCTTACACAGCCATCTCCTCCTGATTCTCTCCTCCCTGCTCTCTACCATTCTCCCCTGCAATCAGTCTGAAGTGTCTCAGAAAAAAAAAAAAGTTTTCCTGCTTAGTGCTGACCTACTCTTGCTTTGAAGCTCCTCCTCTGGCTTCCCCATGGATCTTCAAGTTCCCATCTCACCTTGAAATGCCTCTCTTAGTCGCTCCTAAGCCATGTCATTTCTCCCACTGGGAGCGAGTACTTGTTTCAGCAACTCCTTGTCACCGGCCGACCCTCCCATTCTCACTGCAATCTTAGCCCTAATGCAAAAGCACCAATTTTTCCTAGAGCCTCCCTCTCTGTTCACTCAGTCTTACTCAAATGATCAAATCATCAAAACTTGTGGTTAATAATCTCACAAAGTTTTTTATTTATTTTTAAGATTTTATTTATTTGAGAGAGTTGAGCTAGAGAGAGAGAGAGAATGAGCTGGGGGATGAGCAGAGGGAGAGCGACAAGCAGACCCCCCTGCTGAGCAAGGAGCCCGACGCTACACAGGGCTCAATTCCAGGAACCAGGGATCATGACCTGAGCCAAAGGCAGACACTTAACTGACTGAACCACCCAGGCACCCAGAAAAGATTTTTAAAGAACAACTTCGATTGTTCATTTTCATTTGATTTCCATAAGCAGAGCCTCCACTTCTTTTGCAATGATCTTTTAAAATGTTATAATAATAATAATTACTATTATTATTGAAGAGAAACATGTTTAGAATATTACCAATTGAAAAGCAATGAATGTGGAGGTATTGTGAGTGCTTACTAAGCAATCCGGTTCAGAGGATGAAGCAGAGATGGATGCTCCATCACTGTAAGAGGCAAAAAAAGAAGGAGAATTAAAGCTGTTAGCAGTTTTGAATCTGTTAATCAGGGTGAAAAAAGATCCAATCACCAACGTGTAGAAGTTAGAAGGCAGAATAAGTGTATTGTTTTGGTTATCTGTTAGAGCAGGAGATAAATTCTCATTTAAAACTTTGAATTGGAGGTAATTCTAAAAGGTAGTTCTAAATGATGGATTGGAGAGAAAAAGAAAGTTAATGAGTAGAATCACCTCTGTAGGGCAAAGAGTTAAAACCATGAAAATGGTGAAATAACAAAATGGATATAGAATGCCAAGAAGGTCAGAAAGAAAATCATTTAGCAGGAGAAAAACAACTCTGAAAATACACCAGGAAACAAAGAGGAGAAGGAAGAGGGACTGGAAAGGAGGAAGAGGAGAAGGAAAGGATAAAGGGAGGAAAGGAAGGAAGAGAGGGAAGGCGGGAGGGAGAACTCTACTACTAAGAGAGCTGGCAGTCATTGAGAAGGCATCCGACCTTGATCTAGAGGTGAGAAAATTGAAGCCCAAAGCAGGAATATAACTGTGCTAAGGCTACTCTAGTTAGTGGATGAGTCTTTCTGCTGCTATTGAATCAACGGTCCCTTCTTTATACTAACTAGCGGTCTTGTTATTCACATCTTCTTAGCTACTGTGAGGAATTCATATTCTATAAGACCTGGTTCCTGAGGGTCCTATGTGAATAATATAATTTGGATTGAAGATGATCGACATCTATGAATAGACCACAGAGGCTCGTTTTTCCTTTGCATGTGGAAATGGATGAGGGAAACACGGCTGTTATTCCCTTTAAGATTCCAGCAAACTAATGGAGGTGGGGAGAAAGAAAGAATTGCAAGGATATTAGACAATTTGATTTCTGACCTGATTTTAGGATAACTAAATTTATGAAATAGAAGTCCTCCCCTGATGCAACCCCCAAGTTCCAACTTTGTGATAGAGTCACGTAAGATTCAGTAGCTTCCGGAGCTAAAGACTACACAGCAAAATAATTTTGGTTTGATCAAATACCTGATTAGCAGAATTAGAAAAGCAAACTTCTGTCAGATTTCATTATAAATATCACAACTGACAATATATTGGATTTTCTTGGATTTATGAATACTCAATATTTTCTCTAAAAAGAGATTTGTTTTCAATATAAAAAGGCTTTTCATATTGCTAGGGATCTGTGGTTGCACTTAAAATCCATGGTTGATATCAAAAACTTTCTAATCCACATACTTTTTTTTAAAGATTTTATTTATTTATTTTACAGAGAGAGTGAAAGAGCACAAGTCGGGGAAGCAGTAGAAGGAGAGGGAGAATCAGAGTCCCCACCGATGCAGGGCTCAATCCCAGGACCCTGGGATCATGACCTAAGCCGAAGGCAGACACTTAACCATCTGAGCCACCCAGGTGCCCTAATCCACATACTTTTAAATTGCCTATTAAAATACTTTAGTGAATAAATGTTATTTTGGCATTGCAAATAACTTTTTAAAGTTATTAAAAATTTCATATCACCTTCTGTGCTTTCCATGTTAGATGCAACTGATCAAGATTGCTTTTAATCATGATACTATAACTGCATATTGAAGACCTGTGATGATTAATTGTGCCTTTACTGGCCACAGGGTGCCAAGATTCCACATTATTTCTGGGTGTGTCCGTGACCATATTTCCAGATGAGATTAGCATCTGAGTCAGTGGATTCAGCAAAGAGGACTGCCTTCACCAATGTGCGTGGGCATCATACCATCTACTGAGGGCCTGGATAGAACAAAAGACAGAGGAAGGAGGAATTCGTCTTTTTCCCTGCCTCATGGAGTAAACTGGGACATGTCATCTCCTCTTCTCCTGCCCTCAGACTGGGATTCACACCATCAGATTCCCTGGTTCTCAGGCCTTCAGACTCCGGCTCAATTAAATGCTCCTGGCTTTCCTTGGTCTCCACGCTGCAGACAGCAGATAGTGGGACTTCTCAGCCTCCATGATCACATGTGCAATTCCTCATAATAAATCTCTCCATATATATATTTATCTGGAGAACTGTAAATAATACAATGCCAAAATCAGGCTTGACTAAATAACATATCTTTTAATGATTGCGCAAACTGTTGTGAACATCATAGTCTTTATCATTGCTTACATCTGCTTTGATGCCTGTAATGAAATGATTATAATTACATGCAAGTAATAAAAGGAGCACGCAGATAGGTAAAACCCTTAAAACATAAAAATCTTGTTTAATTTTCCTTAAGTTATCAATGAATTTCCTTCATGTGTCATTGTATTTTGACAAAAGTATATATCTTCTCATCCTATAGATACACATGATAGTGTCCCCCTACATTATAACATAATTTGTGAACTCAATCTTTGAATCAGGTAGATTCCACCCAAAGCATGTTCCTGGTATATTCTTCAATATAATGCATCATATACTTCAATGAACATATAAAAACATGCTGAATTAATGTTGATAAATGTTTAAATAATTTTTTTAAAGATTTGATTTATTTATTTGACAGAGAGAGAGAATACAAGCAGTGGGTGCGGCAGGCAGAGGGAGAGGGAGAAGCAGGCTTCCCGCAGAGCCAGGAGCCCGATGCGGGGCTCAATCCCAGGACCTTGGGATCATGACCTGAGCCGGAGGCAGCCGCTTAACCAACTGAGCCACCCAGGCATCCCTATAAATGTTTAAAAATGTTTAATTAAATAAATAATAATTAAACCATATTAATTAAGCAAGAGTAATAATATAGTCAAATCATATGATCAGAAATGAATTTCAGGAAAATTGAACTTAAAGGAGTCATTTATAAAATATATCCTATTTTTCTGACAATTTCCATTAGTAAGTCAGATGTTTTCCCATTCAAAGTTACTTTAGGTGAGAAATATCAACGTCGTGAGGATTAGAATTACGGCATGGTGATAGTATATTATAAAAGATTTTGCTAAGTTTGTATTAATGGAAGTGAAAAACCAAGTGATTACAGAATATCATACCCTGTAACTGTGGAACAATCACCATCTAAATAATATGCATGCTACTTTGAAGTTCAAGGTATAAATAACTCCAGCAGTCAGCTGTGGAAAAGATAGGAAAGTTATAGCCATAATACCACTTTTAAAACACTAGTACATTCTAGTATTGCAACAATGAATATTTATAGTAAGTTATAAATTATTAAGACTCCATAAAGCAGTACTTTTAAATGTAAGTTAGCCATAAGGAGAATTCTAAGTTTGTACAAGGTGCCCAGTTCCTGGGAAAAAGCAAATAAAACAATGTTAAAGCTGAGTAACGAAGAAAACACCTACTGTCTCCGCTTTGTAAGAGTAAAGATATGTTTACTCTATAGGCAGAAAAGAGTGAAGAAGGCCCTTTTCCCAAAGAATGTTTGGCCTTGACTGGTTGACTTCTGCCTTTCCTTCTAATTTTCCAGAAGTTGCTTCCCTATACAGATTTCAGTAGATATTATCATAAAGGTCGCCCCTCTGACTCATTTTATATTTAAAAGTAAAAGAGAAGAAGGAGGAAGAGGAAGGGGGGAGGGGCAGACAGAGTGAAGCAGAATATCATTTCTAAGATCTTGTATGTGGGATATTTTTAAAAATTATTTATTTAAATTCAATTAGCCAACATATAGTACATCATTAGTTTTTTGTTTTTTTTTTAAGATTTTATTTATTTATTTGACAGAGAGAGACACAGCGAGGGAGAGAACACAAGCAGGGGGAGTGGGAGAGGGAGAAGCAGGCTTCCCGCAGAGCAGGGAGCCCGATGCAGGGCTCGATCCCAGGACCCTGGGATCATGACCTGAGCCAAAGGCAGACGCTTAACGACTGAGCCACCCAGGCACCCCCATCATTAGTTTTTGATGTAGTGTTCAATGATTCATTAGTTGCGTATAACACCCAGTGATCATCACATCCTGTGCCCTCTTTAATGTCCATTCCCCAGTTACCCCATCCCTTCAACCCTCCCTTCTGCAACCCCCAGTTTGTTATAAGTGGCATCTTAATTCTGCATTGCTATTTTAGAACACCTGTAAATTAAACCACCAGAGGGAGCATCTGCATTTCAATCTGATTCATAATCACTCATTATATATACTGACTGGGTCCATTTAAAATCATTTAGCTCAGGACTCTTAGGAAAAAAAATCCAACTTTGGCCAAAGTGACAAATATTTAGTTATGTGAAATCTGCATAAAAAGCCCACCTTCTTTGTAAAACCACCAGAATGATGCTGAAGTGCCAACGTGATCAAATAAGAAAAGGAAAACGAAGCCAGAATTGTGGACTAATTCCTCCAAACTGAGCTGTCCTGTAGTCAGGAATAGGGAGAGACTGAAAACTGACCATGACAACCAATTATTTCCCCTCTTTACCCTTCCCTCTTTTCCTCCTTCCCTTTCTTCTTTCTTTCCTTCTTTTTCTGATACTTCCCCTTCTTCCCTTTTAGTTTCCCTCCTTCCTTCCATTCTCTCTTCCTTTTTTCACTCCTTCCTATCTTTCCTGCTCCTTTCCACTTATAGAAACACATTAGTTTAGAAAGTTCCCAGGACTGGAAGTCAAACTTACGCACTTCATTTTTTTTTAATTTTATTTATTTAACTGAGAGAGAGAAAGCATGAGCAGGGGCGGGGCAGAGGGAGAAGCAGGCTCCCCACTGAGCAGGAAGCCCCACACTACTCAATACCAGGACCCTGAGATCATAACCTGAGCCCAAGGCAGAAGCTTAACTGACTGAGCCACCCAGGTGCCCCAAACTTATGACTTTAGTCCTTGTTTAGCTACAGATTACAGTACTGATCAATAAATTGAGCACCTATTTATTTGTAGGGCATTATTTTAAGAAATGGGAATAGATTCCAAAGATGATGAACCTTCTTTCAAAATGCTTACATTCTAGCACGGGAAACTGAAAATAGAACATTAAACATATTACCTTTATGCCTTAATGAATATTATTCAGCCAAAAATGGGTTAAGTGACAGACTGAAGAATGATACACTGGAGAGACGATGGAGTGTTGAATGGATAAAGAAGATGTGGTATATAAACACAGCGGAATATTACTCAGCCATAAAAAAAGAGTGAAATCTCACCATTTCAATGACATGGATAGAACTACAGAGAATTATGCTAAGTGAAATAAGACAGTCAGAGGAAGAGAAATATCATATGATCTCACTCATATGTGGAATTTAAGACAAAACGAATGAGCAAAGGGGAAAAAAGAGAGAGTCAAACCAAGAAACAGACTCTTAACTACAGAGAGCAGACTGATGGTTACCAGGGGGAAGGTGGATGGGGGAATGGATTAAATAGGCAATGGGGATTAAGGAGTGCACTTGTGATGAGCACGGGGTGTTGTATGGAAAGGTTGAACCACTGTATTGTACTCCTGAAACTAATACCACACTGTATGTTAACTAACTGGAATTTAAATAAAAAACTTCAAAAAAATGTTTTTTTAAATGGGGAAGTGACAGACTGATGAGTTGGAGAGAGGATGAGACTGCTTCAACCAGGTGGCCGAGAAAGACTTCTTTTAAAGTAGCATTCGCTTTATGTTATGAATGAAGTACAGAGGCAGCCATGGAAGATCACAGGGAAGTGCTTCATATGTAGAGAGAACAGGAATAAAAATAGCCCTGGGAAGAAGAAAAGAAGGCCACTCTGCCACCGGAAAACACCACACAGACCAGGGTGGGGAGATGGGGGGAGTGTCTGGTGTCTGAGGTAAATCAGCCGGATTATGTGGCTTCATTTACATTTACATTCCGCCAAAGTGTAAGTTTGTCTGAAGTCACTGTTTTGAGTAGAGCAATAACGCGATCTGTTTTATGTTTTAAAAATGCCATATTGTCTAATGTTTGGGCAAGTCATAAGAAAATGATAGACAGGAAGGAAATAATGAATCCAGATATGAAGTTGTCTGTGTGGTTCAGGGAGAAGGGGAGGCTGGCTTTGCCAAGAATGGTCTATGAGGACTGAGATCTAGCTGGAGAACACATACTTTGAAGGTGGGAACAGCAGGACTTGAGGATGGATTAAATACTACAAGTGAAAGAACCAGCAGATTCAAGAATGACTTCTGGTATTTTCTGGCCAAGGCAACTGGGCAAACGGAAATGTCATGTAAGCTAGAAAAGAATGAATTTGGGGAGAAAAAATTCTCCTTTGGACAGGTTTGCTTTCTGTAACTATTATTCATCCAAAAGGAACTGTCCAATAAGCTTTTAGTTTTGGGGCTGAAAACTCAAGGGCAAGGTCAGGCAAGATACCCGAATGTGGTTGTCGACGGCATGTGCTTTGGATGCATACAGATGGAAGAGAGCACGGAAAACTGATACCTGGGGCTCCCCAACATTCACAGGTAGAGTCAAAGAGAAGTTGAGGAAGATTCTGAAAAGAAATTTTCAGAGAAGAGGAAATCCCATGAGAATGGAGCATGGGCTATCTCAAAATACAAAGGAAGAGAATGTTTTTTAAAAAGAGGAAATGGTACTGGCACCAGAGTGGATGAGTCGGTTGAGCGTCCAACTCTTGGTCTCAGCTCAGGTCATGATCTCAGGGTCCTGGGATGGAGCCCCATGTCATCTGCCTGGGATTCTCCCTCCCCCTCCCTCTGCCCCTGCCTCTGCTCTCACTCTCATTCACACATGCTCTCTTTCTAAAATAAATAAATAAATAAATAAGATCTTTCAAAAAAATAAAAAGAGGAAATGATCATGTGTGCGCAGTAACTGATAACTCATGTAAAATGAGGATGAAAACTGACCATATATCTTCTGAGGAAAAGACCATTGGTCACTTGTGGAAAGTGTAGTTTCTGTGAAGTGTGGCAGAAAGCATAGTAATGGGGGTACAGGAGGTGAAAGGAAATAAGAAAGCAGAGGCTGTTAAAAGCTCTAAATTTCCAGTTATAAGTAAGTCATGGGGATGTCATGTACAGTCGGATGACTAGTTAATAATACTGTATTGCATACTTGAAAGTTGCTGAAAGAGTAGATCTTAAAAGGTTCTCATTCCAAGAAAAAAAAAAAGTTTGCAATGATGTGTGGTGACAGATGTTCATTAGAATTATTGCGTTGATCATTTCACAACATATATAAATATCAAATTATTACATTGTATACCTGAGACTAATATAATGCTATATGTCAATTATACCTCAATATAAAAAAGGAAAGCAGAGATTGAAAATATACAAGTCTTTGATGGAGTTTTGTAGTCAAGGAGAGATTTATGGGGCAGAGCCTAAAGAAGACAAGGAGTCAAGTGAGTTTCTGCTTTTGTTTTTGTTTTGTTTTGTTTTAGGAGAGAAGCTATTACAACATGATGGCATGTTTAATGGTAGAGACCCTGATTCAGACACTTTGATCCAAGATACTTTAATTAAAAAACAAGTAAGACATTTTTCAGTGTGTGAGTACCAGGGAGACAGGTAGTTTAAACAAATAACCTGAATTCAGAATGCCTTTACTTCTGCACTCTGATTATCCATGGCTTATTATAATTGTGTTCACATGCATTGGAGATGCTAGATTATGGACTATAGATTGTGTAAGGAGAGAAATAAGGGCCAAGAAAATAAATGGTGCACATATTGCACCATTCATGGGTTTGGGAAAGTAGAGTGATTAGAAGTTGGTCTAATGATCTTGGAGAATCAGGTCTTGAATTCCTGATGGTCACTGATGTCAACAGAGGAGCAAAGCATAATGGGATTGATCCAGGCAATCAGAACACCTAGTTAATGACGTGGGAGGATATGGAGTGTTGTGGCAGCTGAGAGCGTCTGGGGAGGCTGGCCACACCACTGGTGGCAGTTGGCAGGATGCTGATTTACTAAAGCAACTGGCAATTGCGGGTTTTAGAAGAAAATGTATAATCGGACTTTAAGCAAGTCAC